GTGTGCGTGTGCGTATGCGTGTGCGTGTGCGTGTGAGTGTGTCACTGTGTGTACGTGTGCGTTTGCGTGGTTGTGTGCGTGCGTGTGCGCGCGTGCGTGTTTGTGTGTCCTTGTGTGTGCGTGTGTGTGCGTGTGCGTGTGCGTATGCGTGTGCGTGTGCGTGTGAGTGTGTCACTGTGTGTGCGAGTGCGTGTGCGTGTGCGTGTGCGTGTTTGTGTGTCACCGTGTGTGCGTGTGCGTGTGAGTGTGTCACTATGTGTACGTGTGTGTGTGCGTGTGCGTGTGCATGTGAGTGCGTGTGCGTGTGTGTTTATGTGTGCGTGTGCGTGTGAGTGTGTCACTGTGTGCGCGCGTGCGTGTTTGTGTGTCCTTGTGTGTGTGTGCGTATGCGTATGCGTGTGCGTGTGAGTGTGTCACTGTGTGTGCGTGTGCGTGTGCGTGCGTGCGTGCGTGCGTGTGCGCGCGTGCGTGTTTGTGTGTCCTTGTGTGTGCGTGTGTGTGCGTGTGCGTGTGCGTATGCATGTGCGTGTGCGTGTGAGTGTGTCACTGTGTGTGCGGGTGCGTGTGCGTGTATGTGTGCGTGTGAGTGTGTCACTGTGTGTGCGTGTGCGTTTGCGTGTGCGTGTGCGTGTGCGTGTGTCACTGTGTGTGCATGTGCGTGCGTGTGCGTGTGCGTGTGAGTGTGTCACTGTGTGTGCGAGTGCGTGTGCATGTGCGTGAGCGTGTCCGTGTGAGTGTGTCACTGTGCGTGCATGTGCGTGCGTGTGCGTGTGCGTATGCGTGTGCGTGTGCGTGTGAGTGTGTCACTGTGTGTGCGTGTGCGTGTGCGTGTGCGTGTGCGTGTGCGTGTGCGTGTGTGTGTGTGTGCGTGCGCATGTGTAATCTTGGACTTTGTATTTTTGTTTCACGAGACCTGGGGTAATTTTATTCAACTAATGCAAAGTAAACAAATACAAATAAGAATAGCTTAAAATATGTATCTTATGTATCATATGTATCTTACATAATGTCATAATTATAGCTACAGAAAGGCTATCTATATACTCGTAAGGCATATTAGAAGAAATATCATGAAAAAAACTTATTAAAACTTCCAAACCAAGTGATAGTTAATTCGTATCGTTATGCAGTAATCCTATGAGCGCCTGTGACGCGATCGTGTTGTTTTCCCCGGCGTTCTGCTGGTGGTCACGTGACTCCTGATCTGTGACGTAGCTCCGCCCGCACCTATATACCAGTGTTATACACGTTTGTACATAAAACATAAGTGGCATACGATATGTCTGGTGAGACCAAACCAAACAATTTTGTAAATTTAAACATCACACGAATAACATATTTTAGTTATAAAATTAATTAATAGAGTGCGTTTAGTTTTCCTACTTACCCGATATTATTACCAGATGGTTAGACATATATATGTATTAATTATTGGGGAAGGTGTCTAAATATTAAGTTACAACGAATATTACGTAGAAGGCCAGTACAGATATGAGGGTTTTCTATTTTTTATAATAATTATTATTCTAAAGAGATGATTATATTAATTCATAAGGGATTAATTACCAAGAATAAACCCAAGAAATACACTGGCCATACCTGACCTAAAGCAGCTTTCTTCAAAATGCCTCGAACAAATTGTTGCTGTATCAGGATTAAATGAATCCTGCTTCTGCCAGGGCACGTCTCCACTCAAGATTTTTTCTTAATAGACGAAAACTTAAACCTTTGTTGCGTCCTGAACATGCACCACAACCAACTATGGCACATTATTTACCATGCATGGTCAATGACTAAGAGAAAATAATATAATAGTATGACTGAAAACGTCAACAAATATGCACAGAAGGCTCTGGCCTATGCTCTGACATTGCTAAGCTTAGTGCCGGAAGCACGAGCGGAAGTGGAGAGTACTACTAACAGTAACGCCACCTACAAACGCCACATAGGCAGTGTGTTGTATATATCTATGCATACATACATACCACTGCTCAACTGTCGGGCTTGTAAAATGAATTCGAATGCTCTACTCGCAGATTTCTCAACAATAACCGAGACATCAACGAGAATTATACGCCAACCATCGAGAATTTCCACCGAAAGTTGTACAAGATCAACGGCAAGCTTCAGGCTCTCGATATTCTCGACATGTCCGGCAACAATACGTTTCCAGCGGGCAGACGTTTAACAATTCTTACCGGTGAGTCGTAGATTTAATAATAATANTGGGTGGGTGGATCGATGGACGGACGGACGGACCTTCATGGAAGTACACCTCCATTATCTGCTAGGCTCAAAGGCCGTGGTTCACAGACTTATTTATGACCCGCACCGCGCGTGTACATCGTCCGTGAGTACGAGTTGTGTGAGGTTATCTCTCTAACGTATATATATATATAACGTACTCGATATCGCATTGACGCATCAGTAATCAAATTGCTCGCCTAGCTAGCTTACCGCTAGTTGCCCTCCGTCGTCCAGCCGCCTCTCCGGTCGGTCTTCCTTCCGTCTGTACTTTCGATTGTTTAGTCGTCGAAATGCAGCATTTAAGAAGCGCGTCGTGTGTCGCAGTCGTTCTGCTACTCTTCACGGCAGCACACGCAGGTAAAATCCTAATCAAGCCATTCTCTGCCGGTGCCCCCGACAGCCACCGAATGTACGCGAACGCGTTCGCCCGCACACTGGCGAGCGACGGCCACAGCGTGAGCATGCTCGTCGGCAAGGAGTTCGATGTGCCGAGTGCTGACTATCGCTCGATCACGTACACGTCGCAGAAAGCTGGCGTCACCGACTCAGTACCCATGGGTGATATCATAAAGACAGCTCTGCTTGGCGACAACTACAGACCGTACCGAGCTCTTCGACGGACTGGGACGTTACCTCGAGAAACACTGCAACGTGATGCTGGCAAACGACAGACTGGTGCAGCAACTCCAAGAGGAAGATTTCGATCTAATCATCTTTGACTCGCTAAGCTTCTGCGATTACCTGCTCGTACATCTTCTGCAGAAACCGTTCGCCATCTTCGTAGCTTCGGGCAGCATGTCAATTTTCACAGATTCGCCCATGATCACGTCGTACGTGCCGGCTGGTCTGACCGGAGGCAGGACCGATAGCATGTCTTTTCTCGAAAGAGCGGAAAACACGTTTGAATACATACAAGAGAAGTTCATATTCTGGTATTGCATCGAGAGAAGAGTGAACCAGATTGGACTAAGCACTGGAATCTTTCAGGTATTCGTCACCTGCTATCCGTTTAAAGTTCATCTTTTAGTATACATTCCCAGAGTTCAGAATACTAACCCGCTGTTAATTGCGTTGCGGTGTTATTATTGTGATTGTCCATGTGAAGGGGGTAGATGGGGAGAGAAGATGGAAGAATGGGAGCTAGACAAATGATGGGGAAATGGTTTAGAAGGGTGCGAAGTTAAAGGAGCATAAGTATGTAAGGTATGGAGGAAAGAAAAATGTAGAGAGGGTGGCTAGAATACGTAGAAGGTGTAGATGGAAGACGTAGTGGATGTAGAGAGGAGACGTGGAGGAAGAAGATGGGAGACGTAGAGGAGGTTGAGGGAAGACGTGGAGGAGGTAAAGAGGAGACGTGGAGGAGGTAGAGGGGAGACGTGGAGGAGATAGAAGGGAGACGCAGAGGAGGTTGAGGGAAGACGTGGAGGAGGTAGAACGGAGACGTAGAGGAGGTTGAGAGAAGACGTGGAGGAGGTAGAGGGGAGACGTGGAGGAGATAGAAGGGAGACGCAGAGGAGGTTGAGGGAAGACGTGGAGGAGGTAGCGGGGAGACGTGGAGGAGGTTGAGAGAAGACGTGGAGGAGGTAAAGGGGAGACGTGGAGGAGGTAGAGGGGAGACGTGGAGGAGATAGAAGGGAGACGCAGAGGAGGTTGAGGGAAGACGTAGAGGAGGTAGAAAGGAGACGTGGAGGAGGTTGAGGGAAGACGTGGATGAGGTAGAGAAGAAACGTGGAGGAGGTAGAAGGGAGACGCAGAAAAGGTAGCGGATAGACGTACAATGCGTCGAGAGTAGCTCTAGAACTATAGCCCTCCGCTCCGCCGTAGGAGTATTCCCTGCGGCGGAGCGGAGGGCTATAGTTCTAGAGCTACGTCGAGAGGAGGTAGAAGGGTGACGTAGAGGAGGTAGAGGGGAGATGTGGAGGAGGTAAAAGAGAAAAGTCGAGAAGGTAGAGGAGAGGCGTAGAAGGGAAAGGTAGAGAGGGTAGAGGGGAGGCGTAGAAGAGGATGAGGAAGACGAATGTAAAGGAGGGAAGAGTAATATATACGCATACACGC